AGTAGTAAATACTGTTAGCTGATGATACATGGAAGGGATTGCAATCATTGCAATGCCAGGAAGTTGAATGTAATGTTCTGTAAACCTTTACTCAATTCACAATAAAACGTTTTTAAAAAAAGTATGGAGTTGAACATTTTAGTAGGTATTTCTCAAATTGTTCCTTTTATAATGCAGATTGCCACAGAACCTCATGCTTTACATTGCTTAATCTTATTCATGGTGAATATTTTCTCTGTTCTTTTAAAGGTTTTGTAACAACAAGGAAAAGATCCCAAGGACCCACAGAGGCAGCCACAAACTGTGTGGCAATCGATTCCAATGTTTAACTCTGAAATGAATACGTTTCCACCACGAAGAAATTTGCACAGCGTTCTTGTCGATGTAAAGGGCAAATCCCCTCGTGGCCAGAGACTCCAGGCATCAGTAGGTCTGTTTCTTCTACATGTAAAGAACAGGATGTGCAAAGGCACAGGTTAGGCCCTTGCAGAGTGAACATGCTTATCAGACAGGAAACAATTAGCTGCTAGAGCTACAGTGCTCACAGGTCTGATTCAGTCTTGAGAGTAAGTAATGAATTTCCAATTTGCATTCTCATCTGGGCCCTTTACACAGCTGGGTCGATGCTTCAAGTTCCCTTCTCTGAGAAATGCACCCATCACACTCAGTGTGGCTGAGGTTCCGACTACCTAACAAACAGCATTCACTGGGCACACTGGCACACGGCAAGGCCCTTCAGCTGCATCCTTTTGTTTAATTCTCATGCCACAAAACTAAAGCCCAGATGGGTTAAGTAACTTGCCCAGGATTATATAGTTCAGTTTACTTAACTTACAAGCCCATGGACAAAACTACAATCATATGTTGCATTGAAATCTGACCAACCTTTGCAGTAAACAAAATCCTAATGTAAGAGAGCAAAAACCTAAATTTCATGAGCCTTCAACTTACCCTTGGAAATACAACCTTAGAAAACAATTTCAAAGAAAAAAACTATGCTAAAAAATAACAAAGAGCTAAAACACTAGAAAAAAACAAAATTTAACAAAGGGGAAATAATTAAATAGAAACCAGGACATGAGTTTCATAGGTATTCAGTATTTGCTAGTGAAGATGACAAAGACTGGAAACAATAGAAAATATAGTGAGAAAACCTCTATTTGCTCAAAGTCATGGTTCTAAAATCAAACAACCTAGGCTTAAATTCTGCCTCAACCACTTTCTGAGTGATCCTGGGCGTTATTTAGATTCTCTGAATCTCTTTATTTCCTCCTTAAGAAAGATGAGACGACTTACCTATGCAATGAACCCTGGTAGCGTAGTGGATTATGAGCTAGAAGCAAACCCCAAGGTCAGCAGTTCGAATCTACCAGTCGTTTTGCAGGAGAAAACAAGGTCTTCTGCTCCTGTCAAGACTTACAGCCTTATAACCCTATACAGGAGTCGTGGTTAATGCGCTGGACTGCAAAGTCAGTGGTTTAAGCTCACCAGCTGTTCCTTGGAAACCCTATACAGGGTCACTATGGGTCAGAACTGACCTGACAGCACTTCACAACAACAACAACCGTGAACAGGGTCACTATGAGTTGGAACCAACTCCATGGCACACAATAGCCAGTACCATTTACTGTGTATTAAATGAGATACATGTCTGGTACCTAACATTTTCACTAAAAGTTTTTCCCCTTATTCCAAGGGAAACTGTTGAAAAGTATGTTAGACTGCACTTCCCAAAACAGTTGCAATAATATCTCCTATATCACAGCCTCTTCTTGCAATATGACTTTGATACTCCTCCCATTAAGAAGTGGGGTCTATGTATTTCATCTAGGAATGAATCTAAGCAGAGAAATAAAAGGCATATACAAAGAACACTAAAAAAATAAATAAATAACGAGAAATACAACATGATCACTGACAGGAAGACAACATTGTGAAAATGTCAACACTACCCACAACATTGTACAGAGATAATGCAATTCCAATCTCAGCAATTTTATTTAGAATGGAAAGAGACCCTGGATAAGTAAATCATTACTAAAGAAGAAAAGCAAGTAGGAGGTCTGTCACTTACCAATCTCAAAACCTACTATACAATCACGGTCGTCAAAACAGCCTGGTACTGGTACAATGAAAGACACATAGCTACATGGAATAGAACTGAGAACCCAGAAGTAAATCCATGCACATACCGTCAGCTGACCTTAGACAAAGGAAGGAAACACATTAAATGGGGAAGAGGTAGTCTCTTTGACAAGCGGTGCTGACAAAACTGGATATCCAGTTGCAGAGAAATGAAACAGGATCCATATCTCACACCATCAACAAAAACAAACTCAATAAGGATCAAAGATCTAAGTGTCAAACCTAGCAATGAAAAAATAGGGACAAATTTAGGAGCCCTGATACATGGCATAAATATTCCATCAAAAACAACTGACAACACACAAAGAGCAGAAGACAAAACTAGATGACTGGGACCTCCTAAAAATTAAGACACTTCTGTGCATCAAAAGACTTCATCACAAGAGTAAAAAAAAGAGCCCAAAGACTGGAGGAAAAAAAATTGACAGATAGGTTAGACAAGGAACTCATTTCTAAAATTTATAGAAAATGTCAATACCTCAACAAGAGGTCTGGACAGTAGTTAGCAACAACAACCTTAAGTAGTGGTCTGTCTCTTCTTTTCCTTAGTCTTAAGAAAGCCCCGCTGAAACCTTTCTACTATGGGCGACCCTGTGGGTATTTACAGTACCGGTTCCATAGCTTCTAGTGTCAAAGCAACACATAAGCCATCAACAAACTGACAGATGAGTAGTGAATATGCCTGTTTGTTGTTAAATGCCATTAAGTCAGTTCCAACTCATAGCGACCCTATGTAGTGTTTCCAACATGCAGTTGGTGGGTTTGAACCACTAATTTCATGGTTAAGCAGCCCACTGCTTATCCTACAGCACCACACCAGGACTCTTAATACTCCTTCATTCCACCATATCCCAAAGGAACTATTGATCTTACTTCCAAACTAATCCTTTCCGTTGTTTCCTGTTCAGTAAGTGGGCCATCACCTACTTGATTATTCAAGGCAAATGTGTAGGAGTTACTCATCATTAAGAGCTTTTGGCATTATCCCAGGCATGTGTTCGTTTACCTCTGTTCATGTCCCCTGCTCTTGTCCAAGCCCAAACCTTCACTCCTTACCAGATGTACCACAATAGTCTAGCTGGTTCCCCTACATCATTCATTTTTTTCCACAAATATCATCAGGACACTTGGGACACATCAGTAGGAGAAATAGGCCCCCAAGCCCCTACTCTTGTGGAGTTTATTACATGTGTGTGAAGGGAAACAAACATACGTAAATTATGTAAGATGTCTGGTGAAAAGTGCTGTCTTGCCCACTAGAAAGTACCATGAGAATAGGGCTTGGCGGGCATCAGAGCTGATCAGCAGTTTTGGACCCCTCTCCTACAGGGCACTGCCCCACCTCCTTGAGGTCAGCTGTGGCCATGAGGGCTGCATTAGTCAAAGAAATAAGAACATCTGTGAGGGGATCAACTAATGACCAGTGGAAGGAGCCCCTACTAATAAGGTGTGATGCTCAGCTATCACTTGGTGGACATGTCTGGCGGCAGAGCACACTTGATGTGAGAAGTCAGTTTTTGGCTTATAAATCACTGAGATTTTAGATTGCTGGACCTAACCTAGGCTGACGTACTGTTCAAAGTGACTTCAGCCATCTTGCTCATCAGTGTCACCAGTCCTTGAAACGTTCTTGAGATGTGGCTTTGTGCCAAGCACTATTTGTTGAACGACTGTGGTCCAAAGACTTAGACATCACTTTTGGTTTCACTACACAATAATATTACCCAGCAGCAGGTATGAAGCTTTGCTTGTCTGTAAAACTTCTCCAAGAGTTTTATGCATTCCTTTGATTAACAGAGTGGCAGTTTTCTAGACAGCAGGAATGGGGAACGTCCGGCCTATGCGCTGTATGAAGCCTGTGAGATCATTCGGTCTGGCCCTGTCAAGGCAACTGCAGTTCCAGCCATTACATTAGGGCTGAGTTAATTGTTTGAGTACTGTGGAGTCGGTTCCGACTCATAGCGATCACGTACAGAGTTTCCAAGGCTACAAATCTTTACAGGAGCAGAAAACCTCATCTTTCTCCCGCAAAGCAGCTGGTAGTTTCGAACTGCCGACCTTGAGGTTAGCAGCCCAATTCGTAACCACTACCCTACCAGAGCTCCTTAAATGTGGCAGGCTAATTTTTAAGTTGGTAATTTTGTATGGCCCGTGAATGATGTTATAAATTTTGGCTGAATAAAGGCTCCCCACCATTGACCTAGAGGAGCTTGTATAGGAGAACAATGGAAAGACAGGTATCACCGGGGTAATCTGTGTGAGATCGGTGGACCATATCCACCTGTGTCCTGGGTGTGACACGCTAGTTCTACAAAACGTGCCATCGTATGAAAAATGTTTGTTTTATAGTTGCCTTGGTGGCACAGTGGCTAAGTGCTCAGCTGCTAACCAAACTGTCAGTGGTTCAAACCTACCTACTGGCTCCACAGGAAAAAAGACCTGTGATTTTTGCTGAGATTACAATGTAGGAAGCCCTCCTGAGGTGGTTCTATTCTGATTTATAGGGTCACTCTGACTCAGAACTACAACAACAAGACAACTAGATATGATATAAGCAGGTTCCTAAAAATAAGCAATCAGTTTCAATGTTGTTGTTAAGCGCTGTTGAGTCAGTTCCAATTCACAGCCACCTTGTGTAGGGTTGCTGAGGAGCAGCTGGTGGGTCCGAATGGCCGACCTTGTGGTTAGCAGTCCAGTGCTGATCTTACAGCGTCACAACAAGACTAATGCATCTAAAAATAGTCTAATAATTTTTAATTGAATTTTAAGATCAGTGGCAAAAAACAAACACCAAAAGTTACCCGTGACTGCTTGGTAATGTCAGGCATTGAGTGAAATAAAAATACCCTAAATAGAGTTTCAGCAAAACAATTTTATTTCCTAACACATGGTATACATACACATCCAGTATATACTTATCTTGCACATCTATTCACAAATGACTACCACACTTTCCAAATGACAACATCTTGGAATATAAGAACTTAGCTGAGTTATGAAAAATGCTTCCAGATGGCCAACATTCTGAATATACGGGATGGGTTACAGCAAAATTTCTTCAGATTAGCTCTATAATTTTAAAACTTTGAAAAGCTACTACTTTTGCATATCTAATGCTTCCAGATGAAAAGGATGCAGCACTGTCAACTTGTGTTCCGGAGAAATGCCATCAGTTCTTCTGGTGATGATACCACTGATCCACTGTTCAGAGGGAAGAAAAACAAATTAGAATTCCTGACGGGAATGAAAAATGACTCCCAACATCTCACAACAAAAGAAGCTTTAATGCATCTAACTCTGAATTACATTACTACATACATGCAATAACTGTGCAAAGTCACAATACAGCAAAATTGGGCAACTTGTCACAGAGTAGTGATGTTGACCTACTCGGGTCTCTCACACAGTGCCCACCAGGCCGTGATAGAAACTCAGAGGAGCCCAACTGGTCAGTGTGGAAAGTACCGTGACAGAATAACTACCATGCTATCAGAGTTCTCTCTCTATATATATACATCACATACACACACACACAACTGAAATCTTACCATCTGATGGTATTGAGCAGGCAGATTCACAGGGTGGTGGTAACTAAAATAAAATATTAAAAAGGATTAGTTTAATCCTAGAGAAAAATTAGCTAAAAAGTATATTATTGAAACAAAAGTTCTAAAGAAGCTAAACAGGAGAAGGCTATCCTGATTTTTAAGCTCTAAAACATTTGTTCAACTGCATTTAGCAGGGTTCATATATAAATAAATGTAAATCTAAATATGAGGAGTTTCACTTTTAAACTGCCCTTTTTCCTTCTACTATTTTCATGCACATGGGAGTCCTGGTGTGGCGCTCTGGGATAAACCACTGGCCCGAAAGGTCCATTTGAACCACAAGGTCAGAGGTTCAAACTCACCAGTTGCTCCTTGGAAACCCTATACACCTTAACAATAGGTGACGTCTTTAATACTCCATTTTTAATTATGGATAGAAGATCAACAAGGAAATAGCTAATTGAACAAGAAAACAGAGACATGAACAACAATATTAACAACTACAAATAACAGACAGCTTTAGAACCTTTCACCCAACAGCAAAAGATGACATCTTCTTAAGCAGACAGAGAACTTCTGGCTGACAAGAACCACTCCTCAGCTTTTCCCCTCATATGCCAACCTCTATGTGCTCATGGCTCATCAGCTCAAGACTTAGCACAGTACTACGTATCTAGGAGGTACTCAAATGTTTCTTGAAAGATATAGTTCTCTCAGCACTTAGTTCATCTTTTAATTATCAAGTATTTTTCATAAAAGAAACTTCTACATACAGCATCCACAATGGCTTTGGCAGCATCAGGGTCGCACTTGAAGGGGCTCTCAGACACTGTTGTGTTCATGCTGCCAAACAAAACACATGTAGTCAGTCACAAGTCACAGTCTCTCTTAGGAGCTAAGCAACAAGCACATAACATTCATGTCTGCTTTAGCTGAAAGCTTTCTCACCCATATTTAAACCTTCTCATTTATTTTGACAAAGCACAGCTATTCTTGTGGTCAACTTTACTATGGCTTTAATGAAATCCAAACATTTTAATAAATTCAGATTTAAGAACCTGGAATTAAATGCTCTATAATTCTCACTGGAGTATCTGGTCAAATTTAATCTCCTTATACCCCTGTCCTGGAGTCCTGGTGTAGTGTTGTGGGCTAATGTGTCAGACTGCAAAGTCATTTGAACCACAAGGTCAGTGGTTCAAGCTCACCAGCTGCGCCTTGGAAACCCTTTACAGGGTTGCTATGGGTCAGAAATGACTCGATAGCACTTAACAACAACAACACACCTCTATCCTGGTATGGCACTTACAGGATAAGCACTGGACTACTAACTGCAAGGTTGGTGGTTCAAACCCACCAGCTGCTCCTTGGAAATCCTATACAGGGTTGCTGTGAGTTAGAACCAGCTGCATGGCAACAAAAATACCTGGGCCTATTTACTGCTCAATCAACATTCACTGCTATTTCGGATGATAGTAAATTCAGTAGACACTGGTTTAGTTGCAGTGCATCTTACTGGTTTACGTCAGAGGACACATCCCTTGTACTCCACCTCATTTGATCCCTTACACACCCGCTCCTAGTTACTCTCACGGCTCTGATCCCACTGCTTCCTTCAGTTTTGCTCTGGACTCCTTCTTAGAGGATATTCCAGGAACTTGTGGGTTTGTGTATGGATTTTATCTTTCTACTCACTTGTGTGGAGTCCTGGTATGGCGCTGTAGGATAAGTATTTGACCTCAAGGTGTGTTTGAACTGCAAGGTCAGCAGTTCAAATTCACCAGCTGCTTCTTAGGAACCCTATGTAGGATTGCTATGAATGGGAACTGACTTGACAACACTTAACAGTGCTCACTTGCTTACTGATTGACAAAACCAGCTCTCTGCTCTGAGCAGATATAAAGTGTGGTGTCTGCTGGTCATGCAGACAAGGGCACTTACCAACTGAGTCCTTTCCCGTCGATTTTCTTGGTGACCAGTGCTTTCCAATGGTCATGGGTGCTCTTTATAATATCAACAGCAAACCCCTATAATTTGAAGAGATAAGCATCTCACAGTGATTGAAAAGTACTCTTTTCCTATTATCAACATTTCCCTAACATTAGCATTTCCCCAAGCCTGATATTTTGCTTTTTAAATTATGCCTTTGGGCCAAAATTCAAAGAGGATATTTAAATAAATACATCTATACATGAATGTTTCTATACATTTGTTTTATGGATTATACAGTCTTTAGATGGCAGTGATATGGCTAAATTATCTTAAGTATAAACACAGGTAGATCTAAAGGACTTATTACCTTATCTTTAAATTCGGCATTGAAAGCAAACTGGTTTTCTGGTTTCCCGTCAGGAACCTTGTATCTTCTAAACCAGTCCACAGTAGCTTCTAGGTACCCAGGCTTCAGTCGTTTGACATCATTAATATCTGAGAATAAGCAGATGGCAAGAAGTATTCAAAAAGATCAAGGGACAGCTGACAAAAAGTTGAAGACAAGCTAGAGCTAGCCTCTTTGTTGAAAGGAGGACACATATACACACTGAATGGCGATCATCTTGTCATCAAGCCGATTCTCACTCACGGTGAGCCCATGTGTGTCAAAGCAGAACTGTGTGTCACAGGGGTTTCAATAACAGATTGTTAGACTTTTCCTCTGGGATGCCTCTGGGTGGATTCAAACCTCAGTTAGCAGCTGAGCACCCAGGACTCCATGTACCTCATGTATGGCTCAGGACTCTTATCTTCCAAAAGCTCTGACAGTAAACACTAAGGGAACAATTGGTACAAAAGAAGGGAGAAATTACTGGAGGCTATGTAATAAAAACCAGTTTGGCAAGTATAGGTAACTTCTATGAGAAGAGTAGATGATATCAAAAAGGCAGGTTGAGGTGTATTTCAGAGAATCACAGCCTAATCATATACCAAAAGATCAAAAGATTAAAAAAAAAAAAAGGATTCAATTGCTATCTGTCGATAGGCTACATATTAAATGGGACTAGCCTTCTCTCAATCAATAGTATACGCATTCGACATCATAATGCTTTAAGACTTGGGAGAACGTGATGGGGAGGATGTGTTTTATAGGTGGCAAGGACAGTAGAAATGTTTTGCTTAAGAAGCATTTTAAAGATTCTGTACAAGTCACCAATTGTGACTAGCCTTAATGTTATCAAACTGAACTCCTGGTCAACAAAAGCACAGAGAAGATCCAAGTGCTAAAAAGTCATGAGGTACCATCCAGTTGGTTCCAATTTATAGCAACCCTATGCACAGCAGTTGTTACGTCTAAGCCCATTGTTGTTACCACTGTGTCAATCCATCTCGCTGGGGGTCTTCCTCTTTTTCACTGACTCTCCACTTTACCAAGCATGATGTCTGTCCTTCTCCAAGAACTAGTCCCTCCAGATAACATGACCAAAATATGAGAAACCAAGTCTTGCTAGCCTTGCTTTTAAGGAACATTCTGGCTGCACTTCTTCTAAAATAGATTTGTTTGTTCTTCTGGCAGTCCATGGTACTATATGCAATTCAAATGCATAGATTTTTCTATGATCTTCCTTATTCAACATCCAACTTTTTATATGTATATTAAGTCATTGAAAATGCCATGGTTTGGGTCAGGCATACTGAAGCCATACTCTTCTCCATATAATCTAGCTTCTCTGATTAATTGCTCAGCATGAATAAGGATGGTGAAAGGATACAGCCTTGGCACACACCTTTCCTGATTTAAAACCATTCACAAATCCTTTGTTCTGTCTACATGACTGCCTCTTGATCTATGTGCAGGTTCCTCATGAGCACAATAAAATGTTCTCGTATACCAATTCTTCACAATGTTGCCCATAGCTTGTCATGATCCACACAGTCGAAAGTCTTTGCATACTCAATAAAGACAACAATTGTGAGGTTAGGTTGGCCCAGGACCAGGCAGTGTTTCCTTCTATTGTGCATAGGGTCGCTATGAGTCGGTGCTGACTCGATGGCACCTAACAATAATAACAAATATCTTTCTGGTATTCTCTGCTTTCAGTAAAGATCCATCTGACATCAGCAATGATATCCCTTGTTCCATGTCCTTGTGTGCATCTGGCTTGAACCTCTGGCAGTTCCTTGTCAATTAACTATTGCAGCCACTTTTTATTTATCTTCAGCAAAATTTTACTTGAATGTGATACTAATGATATTGTTCGATGATATCCACACTCCACCGGGTCACCTCTCTTTGGAATGGGCTCTTCCAAACGGTTGGCCAACTGGCTGTCTTTCAAATTTCTTGACCCGGGCCTGCGCCACCCTCACAAGTCTTGTTATGTTACAAGCCCATTGTTGCTGCCACTGTGCCAATCCAGCTCATTGGGGAGTTTCCTCTTTTTCACCGACTCTCCACTTTACCAAGCATGCTGTCCCCTTCTACAGAGACTGGTCTTTTCTGACAACACGGCCAGTAAACACATGAAAAGACGGTCAACATTATTATCATTAGGGAACTGAAACAAAACCACAGTGAAATGCCACTCCACACCCAACAAAACAGAAAATCTAACAATAGAACAAAAAAACAAGACATGGGAGCCCACATTCATTACTTGTGGGAATGTAAACGGTGCAGCTACTATGGAAAACGGTTGGTTCCTCAAAAGGTTAAACTTACATTCAGCATGACTCAGCAAATCTACTCCTAGGTAAAAATCCAAGGAAAGTGAAAACTGAGGTTGAAACAGATACTTAACAAAAATATTCACAGCATTATTCATAATAGTCAAAAGGTAGAAAGAGCTCAAGTGTCCACCGAGAGATGAATGCTGTAGCTCCTACATGCCTCGGAGTTGGTTCCGACTCACAGCAACACTGTACAGGGTTTCCGAGGCTGCAACTCTTTACTGAAGCAGAAAGCCTTATCTTTCTTCTGTGAAACAGATGGTGGATTCGTGGAGCAGATGGTGGATTTGAACAGCGGCTGACCTTGCAGTTAGCAGCCCAACACATAACCCACTATATTACCGGGGCTTCTTCAACAGTAAGCAACATGTAGTATTATCCAAGTCATAGAATACCACTCAACCATAACAAGAAAAAAAGTTCTGATCCATGCTACAACATGACTTAGAAAACATTATGTTACGTGAAAAACATACTGTATGGCTCCACTTAACTGAAATACTCAGAATAGTTAAATCCACACAGGTAGAAACTAGATTGGTGGCCAGTGCCTAGAGGCACGGGGAGGGATGCGGTAAGGGAGTGACGATACTGGACATAGGGGTTTTTTGGGCAATGATAAAAAATCTTCTGGAATTAGATAATGCTGATGGCTGCACAACTTAATGAATATACTCAAAAGACACTAAACTATACATTTTAAAATAGTGAGTTTACGGTATGTGAATTTCATCTCAATCAAAGAGACAGAGAGGAAAAACAAAGCAAGCAAATGAGTGCTTGTCTACGGGGAAGGAAAAAGAAAACAGTAAACCAAAACTACCAGACTTTGTTTTTCTCTTCTAGAATTGAGGGGAAATGTTATCTACTTAATTATAGAAGTTCAGCAGTAGAAATAGCAATGCTTGTTTGTCCAACGCTTTCATCCTCTATTCTGTAAGTTTGGGTTTATGAGTCTGTCTTGTGGGTTGAGTTAGGTGGTACAATCCAAACTACTCACCGTTGTAACTGGAGGCATCAGGATCGTCCACGTTAATGGCAATGACTTTCCAGTCGGTCTCCCCTTCGTCGATCATGGCCAGGATGCCCAGCACCCTCACACGGATGATTTCACCCCTTGTACAGACCTGAGAGTCAATAACCACAGGCAGTAAGGAAATGTCAAAGGAAAGTTTTCTTTAACCAGTAACAGGAAATAAAGACGCTGACAGGTCTTTGTAAACTTACCTTAAATTGCTCCTTGAAGCCCTTAATTTTCACATGGTTGAAGAGAGGTGTTATTTATAGGTCATAAGAAAACCACTACCATAGTTTGGAGTAATTAATGTCTTTACACTATCATTGTGCAAAAGAATAATTCTCTAGGATTTGTTTCAAATACATTGTTATGGACAATGCTGTAAACCCTAACCTCTGTGTCAGTGGTTGGTCACAATCCCATTCCAGAATAGGTTGTCTTTGTTATGTTAACAAGGCAGGGTTAGTGGGGGTTGTGTCCTGAGCTGATCTCTTTTGAGATATAGAAGAGACGAAACAAGATAGGGGCAGAAATGAAGAGAGAGATATGGGAGAAACAAGATGATAAACCACATCGACCAGATGAACAGAGAGGAAGATGGCCCAAGGACACAAACTCAAAGAGACCTTCCTCGTCCAGAGCTGACAGAGAGAAAATCTTCCCAGAGAGCCGGCACCCTGAATCTGGACTTAGAGCCCCGTAAACTGTGGGAGAATAAAGGGCTGTTTGTGGTATTTCTGCCACAGAACTAAGATTATTTGGGTATCAAGCAGTGGGGGTGCTGCTGTAACAGAGACCTAAAATGTGGAAGTGGCTTTAGAACTGGGTAACATGTGGAGGTTGGAAGAGCTTAAAGGTGCTGGTGTGGCACTGCAGGCTAAGGCACTGGATTGCAAGGTCAGGTTGAACCATAAGGTCAGAGGTTCAAATCCACCAGCTGCTCCTCCGAAACCCTATACAAGGTCGCTATGGGTTGGAATGGACTCAATGGCACTTAACAACAATGGTTAAAGCCTGGACTCCTGGTGTAGCACTGTAGGATCACCACTGGACTGTGAGTCACAAAGTTGGCAGTGTAAACCCACCAGTTGCTCCTTTGAAACCCTACATGAGGTTGCTATGAGTTGGAATCTGCTCGAAGGCACTTAGCTACAGCAATAATAAAAGCCTAAATTGCCTTGATAAGACTGTTGGCGGACTTGTGACCATCAACAATAACTCTGGCTAGGGCTCAGAAGGAAGGGAGGAAAGGTGCAGAGAAAGTCTCTATCATCTCAGCATATGGTCCCAGAATGCATATGGTACCAACCACAGAATGCTGCACGAATTAAGGACGTTGATCGTGCTTCTGGTGAAGTTTTAAGAAAAAAAGGTGAACATGTGACTAGACAGTGAGGAGGAGCAATGCTTTTTATGCAGTGACAAAGAACTTGTCTGAAATATGTTCAAATGTTGGGTAAAAGGTAGAACTTGTAAGTGATGGCTGATAAACTTTCTAAGTAAGATCTTAAAGGGATCCTGTAGTTTCTCCTTAAAGTTTAAGAATAAAATGTGAGGAAAGAGTGGATTTAGTAACTTTGGTTGTCTTTGATATGCTAATGAGACAGGATTGTTGTTGTTAAGTGCAGTCCGGTCAGTTCTGACCCACAGCAACCCTGTAAAGGACCAGCTGGTGAGATTGAACTGTTGACTTTGCAGATCAAACTGACTTTGCAGTCTAGTGCATCAACCCACAATGCCACCCCAGAACTCCATGACGCAGGATTAGTGTGTACAGTATATCTTTTTTTTCTTTTTAAATACTTTATTATGAATTATGTGATAGTTTCCATGGGAGGACATGTAGGGTAGATCTTAAATCAATCTTTTGAGATATAAAAGCGATTAAACAAGAGAGAGATGTGGAGATGGGAAAGAGAGAGAGATGTAGAGAAGGGAGAGAGAGATGTGGAGAAGGGAGAGAGAGAGATGTGGAGAAGGGAGAGAGAGAGAGAGATGTGGAGAAGGGAGAGAGAGAGAGAGAGAGAGAGATGTGGAGAAGGGAGAGAGAGAGAGCCAAATCACTTGAAGGTCACCGGGGACAGCAGCTCAGGGAGATAAGGACCTTCCCTCCAGAGCCGACAGAGACAGAGCCTTCCCATGGACCTGGTACCCTGAGTTCAAACTTCCAGTTTCCGAACTGTGAGAACACAAGTTTGTTTGTTAAAGCCACTCAAGTATGGCATTTCTGTTATAGTAGCACTAGGTAACTATGACAAATTTTACTTTAAAGTAGCCTCTGACCATGGACTGAGAAAGGCTGTGTGCCTGTGGGCAGGGGCAGGCTTGCAAAATATGACCTCTGGATATGTAAATGAGTATGTATTTTTTGTTTTTTATGTGTACATCTGTTGCAGACCGTGTGTAGACTATACAGGCCGCAGGCTCTGAGGACCAGACTCTGACCACCTAGCAGATTTAGCAAACTGTCCCTCATCTGATTGTTTAGTTGTGCTTGTTAATAATTTCATACATGAGCCCTGGATGTCCACAGAGAAATGCAATATTCCCCGAAGTTTCTAAGGTCAAGATTTTCCCCCTAGAACCAAGGCAGTAAAACTTCCTCAGAGGACAAACAAGGACAGGTTTACTGGGATTAAGCAGGGAGGCTCTGGAGAGGAACTGCCCGGGGTATATTCACTTGGGGTGGAGTGGTAAATTCTGGGAATACGGGATTATGGACAATGGGGGCAACTCCCTCGGACCACCCTGGGTTCAATCAGTTTGATCCAAGTGAAGGTTAAACCCAGTAAGGAAGAAAGGAATATTGGTTTAAGTAAGGTTTACTGGCTTAATTTTTCTTAAAGATTGTCTCTGTGAATCATTAAGCATTGTCTTATCTGAATAATCCCATTCTTCTGTAAAGATCTCTTCCTTAAAAAGGTTATTAAAGACTGGGGTACAGATAGTTCTGTGTACACTCTTGGCAGCAGGACTATCTCCCTGTCAGCTTGTATCCACTCTGGTCTCCGAGTGTTTCTTTCACTCTCGCCCCTCCAGACATCCCACCTAGAGTAAGTTTTGGGTGCAATGTCTGCAACCGAGCAGTCTGTCTGGCAGCTTGCATCAAGCCTGTGTGTCTGTCTTCTTTGTATCTGTTTTCTCTGCCTTCTGTGTGTCTGTTTTCTCTCTCTCTCACTATCGTCACCGGACACCCCATCTTCGGGTACCCACCCCCTTGCCGAGGCCAGACCCCGGCATACATCACGTATTTTTGCTTTGTTGAGTTGTGAAAAATAAGCTGTAAAAGGGAAGCCACAAGGAGGAAATAGGGTAACGGTTGTTGCAGGGAGGGGATTGTAATCATTGAGATGAAGCAAAACGTATGATTGGTTGAGGAAGCTGATGAGCTTGTCTGTTAATGTTTACTCAATTCACACCAAAAAGTTAAAAATAAAGTTCCTGCTGAATTAAGTCATACTATGTGACTTACAAAGGAGCTCTGGTAGCGTAGTGGTTACGAATCGGGCTGCGAACCTTAAGGTCAGCAGTTCGAAACTATCAGCCGCTCCGTGGGAGAAAGATGAGGCTTTCTACTCCCGTAAAGATTTACACCCTTGGAAACCCTGTACAGGGTTGCTATGGGTCGGAACCGACTTGACGGCACTTCACAACAACAACAACAATGTGACTTACAAACTTTGCCTTAAACACTGCACAACAATTGTTTTTTCAGTTGTTAACTATTTCTCTGAGCCTGAGAAAGACCACAGAGACACATACATATAACTAGAATCTTTGAGCAATCCTACTTGGTAGAGAAATCCTTAACATAAATCTCCAATTCTTGGAGTCATTTGGCTTGGGTAAATTCACTGATCACTCGAAACCATTAGATAAAGTTTATCTCTTGGTACCCTTGAGACTAATTCTGTCTTTATATACATTTTTTGTAGACTAGGTTTAAATGTACAAATTATAACATATAAGCACTAGGAATGAAATGAAAGCTTTTAATTTCATATACTATTATTTTCACTAATATTCATAATTTTCTTCACAATATTTTTAAAAGTCTAAGCTTTGCATATTTCATGACTATCACCTCAACAGCGAACATAAAACTTCGCATCACTCTTTACCTTGCTTCCAATCTCACACACATCAATCGGGTCGTTGTCGCCACAACAGCCAGTGTGTTTGTCATTGTGTCCTGGGTATTCCCAAGTCTAGAGGAACAATGGTCAGAAGACAGCATTAATAACTGGCAAAGAGGATTGTGCTGACATTAGAAGGCAGTATCCCATGATCTTTTCTGTAAAAACAAGAATTCTCAACTATTTTTTTCTCACTTAATAAATTCTTCATTTACATCTAAGAATGTTAACTACACACTATCAGGCCAAGCAAATCCTGGAGCCCCTATTATGCATACAATCCTATACTAATTTTTTGTATTGTAGTTAAAATATTTCACATGAACCATGTTTAGTTCAGTGGCATTCACAATACTATACAACCATCACTACTCGCTAGTTTACCACCCCAATCAGAAACTTGAAGACAAATGTCTTCATGATGCAGCAACTACCCACTGTTCCCTGCCCCAGAACCTGACAACCAGTGATCTACCTTTTGTTCCTGTTAACGTGCCTCTTCTAGATATTTCACTGAAACAGGATCATGCAGTAATTGTCCTTTCATGTCTGGCATCTTGGCCTTAGCATAATGTTTTCAAGGTTTACCCAGGTTGAGCATGTATCAGTCATTCCTTTTCATGGCTGAGTATGATGTCATTATATGTATGTATCACACTGCTTACCCATTCATCTAGTGATGGGCACTGGGTTGTCTCTGCCAATTGGTTATTATGCTTGATGCTACTGTGAAGCGTTCATGCTCAAGTATCGATTTGAACACCGGTGTCAATTCTTTCCAGTTTATACCCGGGAGTGGAAAGGCCAGGTACTATGCTAATATTATGTTTAACCATTGGAGGAGTCACCACACTGTTTTCCACCCCGGCTGGCTGTACCACTCTAGGCCCCTCACCAGCCATGTGCAGCAGTTCTAACTTCACCACATCCTCGCTAACATTGCTCATGTGCTTTCTGTATAAATTCTTTGGAAACATGTCTATTCAAATCCCTTGCCTGTTTCAAAATTAGATCACTTTTTGTTGCTGAGTTGTGGGAATTCTTTATATATTCTGGATATCAGACCTTTTATGTTCAGATTATTGTTGTTACGTGCAATCCAGTCAGTTCCAACTCAGAGCGACCCTGTACAAGGTTTCTAAGGAGCAGCGGTTGAGCTTGAACCGCCAACTTTGTGGTTCAAACCGATCAGTGCATTAACCCACAGCGTCACACTTTTCTCCCATTTTGTGGGATATCTTTTAAAAATTAAAGTTACGCTTTAAAACCAACAACGGTGGAGAAAAAACAAGATGGCAGAGAGGGTAGAAGTGCAGGGAGGAGCTCCGTCAGTAACAACAAAGAATACCAGACCAAGCAGGCTCAGGGGATGGTGCCAGAACTCTGAACCACATATAAAAGAATATTTAGAAGGTTGGAAGGCTAACAGCTAGGGGAATTTGTAGCAGAAGCAAGAAATCTAGTGCTTTCTAATCCAAGGCACTCAGCCGCTCCCAGAGCCGCCATCTTGGGCAATAGCTAGCAGGGGAAGGATCAGAACGGCAACGGATGCCTAACGGAACCTCAGAGATAAAGGTATGGACATTCTTTTTTTTTTTTTTTTATCTGTTCATTGGTCTATCACTGTCTGCACACCTCCATTCTGGCAACTAGAGGGGGTGCCTGAGCGAGTGGACACCCTACCGCCACCCCTGGAGGGTTCTACTATGTATAGACACAGATCTCCTTGAAATTTAAAGTGACACTTTCCACTTAAAATTAAATGGCAGTGCAAAGTGGCCACAGCTGGCCCTGAACTGTTTATCACTAGGGAGCTTAGTTTAAGAGCGTGGGGGGAAAGAAAGAGTCCCCACTGAATAGTTTTCATCTTATCTAGATGGGTCTGGTGAAAAGAGATGGGGATAAGATTCCTAAGATTCAATAGTGAATAATTGTTATCATGACTAATTGCGACAGTCACAATTGTAAAGGTAGAAGTTTTGTAACAAAAATGGGGGAGTAGTTAATCTTACAGTCCAGAATCAGAGGACCCCAGGACCATTAAGGGAGAAGGACTAAGAGCTGGAGGCCAGGAGGTAGCCTTCCAGAATCTGCCCTTTGGAGGTGTAAATTATTATATATGCCTGATTTTTTTTTTTTAAAAGCTAAAGTGGATAGAGAGAAATACTGTTAACTGATGATACATGGAGGGGATTATCATCATTGTAATGAAACAAGGTGTATGATTTGTTGAATGTAAAACTGATGATCTGTCTTGTAAACTTTCACTCAATCCACAATAAAAACCTTAAAAACAAAACAGTGGTCCTATTCAAAACAAACAAACCAAAAAACCATTGCCTAATAACCAACATGGAATCCTGGTGTGGCGCTATGGGTTAATGCACTGGACTGCAAGGTCAGTTTGAATCAAAAGATCAGCAGTTCAAACTTACTAGCTGCTCCTTGGAAACCATATACAGGGTTGCTATGAGTCAGAACCAACTCAATGGTACTTAACAGCAATAGCCAAAATGTATTCACAAAGGAATATAGACCAAGATATTTGCTAGATTAAAAGAAAACGATTTTGATGGAACCTATGTTCCTTTAACTAGATTTTCTTTAAAGCTACTTTCCAAAGCAGAAGTAGATAGGCAGATGGACTAAAATGAAAATGAAGCGTTCTGATGGTAAAAGTATCATCACTTCAACTAGACATCAAGACTGAAAAGTTAAACCAGGATTTGCTGGAGCTTTAAATCGCCAATTTTCTTGCTAAATTGCATAGCAGAATCCTTGAAAAGCATTTTACAAAAGAAGTGATGACCCATGCGTGCCAAGAAGTCCGGCTTAAAATGTTGCTTTGGTTCTTTTCTTGCCCAATCAGGATATACTATTTTAAAGGCAAAAGATTAAAGTGAAGGGGGACAGAAGAAGACTGCTTCTAACAAGCCAGCGTTAAGAAGGCAATACTCAACCCACAGAAGAATGAGTACTTCAGCAATGTTTTTCCAAAGGGACGATATTTCCACATACAATAATAAATGGTGGTGATGGTGGTTATGTGCTGTGAAGCTGGTTCGGACTCATAGCGACCCTATACATGGTTTTTGAAGCTGTAAATCTTTACAGGAACAGAAAGCCTCATCTTTCTCCTGTGGAACTGCTGGCAGTTATGAACTGCTGACTGTGAGATTAGCAGCCTGATTCATAACCACTACGCTCCCAGAACTCTTATGATAACAAACACTAAATCAATTAAAGAACAAGCTGAAGAGTTATAATTAATGCAAACGATGTAATGACCTAACACGCTAGATGTGTCTGTCCTATGTTCTTGTAACAGACTGTTTCCCAGTGGATTCCACTGAATTGACTTAATGGTTAATGAAAACAAATCACTTCTCAGAATCTAAATGGACTATTTAGGTAAAAATCTTAAGTGCTATAGCACTTACAAATGCTTTCTGCAGGTGTTCTAGCTCTTTGACTGTGAGTGGTTAATTTTTAGAAGGGTGAAAAAACACGCTGTTAACAATTGCACAGAGACATACAGACCTGAGGGATGGCACCATAGTTCCAGATGTAGCCTTTATAAGGGAATAAATTTGCGACATAGCGGAGTTTTCCTTTTTTCACATCTTGTTTAATTGGGTTTAAAGGGTCCTTTGTAGAAATCTGAAATGAAAAGTTTCCATTTTTTGTATGGCGATCCGGGTAAGAATTTGAGGAAGTGAATTATAGTATTTACATCTCTAAATTCCAATGTAACGATGTAGTTTACGCCTAACTTTTTATAATTTGAATCTAAGAATATAAATTTTAGATTATAATTTAAAAGTTACTCCACCATCAGCCACGAAGTGGAATGCTTATTAGAGATTTACAGGAACTTTCAAGAAGGGAAAAAGAACCTCAATTCTGCCAAGTAAAAACTACAACTGCTGCTGCTGCTGTTAAGTGCCGTCGAGTCGGGTCCGCCAGGGTTTCCGAGGGTGTAAATCTTTACGGGAGTAGAAAGCCTCATCTTTCTCCCAAAAACTACAACTAGCTGGAATAAATCCTAACATTTGAGAACTCAGAAGTACGAAGGTTTTATTACAGTTGTTAAGTGCCGGTGAGTTGGACTCATAGTGACCCTGTATAAGAGTTTTCGAAGAGTGGTTGGTGAGTGAAAACAAAAAACTCAGTATTATCCAACGTCAGCTTCCCTCGTTAAAGCATTTAAAAATATTCAAATCTTTTTGAGTCTAGTGCATACACATAGGGCTGCATGGGTCAGAACCATCTCTATGGCAAGCAGCAACAGTTACATGCAAAATGTGGTTACTGTCAGAAAGTTTATTCTGTTATAATGTTATAACTATCGCTAAGAAAAAGCCAAATGTGGTTGGGTAGGTGTCATTAGGAAGATATTAACCAAGTGCAGCAGAAATTCCAGCGAGATGGTTGGTGGCGGAGGTCAATGACTAAGCAAGATATGACAGGAGGGAAGGGTTATTACCAGGCTTTGGGAATGTCAGAAGCAAAGGTGTGAGGTAGGAAAAGTCTGTGGCATGTGTGCAAACAGTAAATGCTTGTGACTTCATGACACTTGGTTATATTTAACTATAACAGAGTATAGACAGGCAAATCATGGAAAATGTAACCGGAGGAAAAGCTAGGACTAGTCGTGTGAGTTTAGATGATTAAATCAGTACACGGCAGTTTGGCTAGATCAAAACTGATACACTAAATCTAACTATCCAAGTAAGGCAAAAGATTACCTCCATTTTTGCATTAGACCATCGTGGAACTTCAACTACCATGTGGAACACATCCTGAAAAACAAAGAAAAAAGGCTAATATAGCCATAGGAGTTCATCTGTTCTTTTATTTCAAGGAGCACTCTATTCCATTCAAAGCTGAAATGGTTCATTGTATCAAATTCTGGACAGAACTTTTTAAAGTCAATGGGCTTTCAACAGAATACATCTAAAAATAAGACAGAGTGATGGAGACACATAGAGTAAAACAAATACAGCCAAATATTACTTATAGAATCAAGATGAGGAGTGCAATGTACAACTCTTTCAGTTTTTTTGTACGTTTAAAATTTTTCCTAGAAAAATGTTAGGGGTTGGGTGGGTGCAGAAAGAATGTTTGCATCAAGGAAAGTAGCTTGTTCTTAAAGCCAGCAGGACTTATACCTCAGGGAAAGATCATTATCAAAACAATATACATCAAAGGCTATTCAGTGAGGAATCCTGCCATCACCAGTGTTTGGACTTCCATTTCATCGGCACTTGATAAAACAACCCCCAAATCAGACTTTAGTTTTAACCTCAAACAAAATGAGTCAGCCCAATTACCCACATCATTCTCCAGATTTGCCTATTTGCAAAAATCAAATCCCCCTTAAAAAAAAAAAAAAAAAAGACATGAAGTTTGACACTGAAGATTTAAAATAATATGTTTCAAAAATATTTTAACCAATGGCAGGTCTGTTGTACAGCTGACCCTTGAAAATAACTCGGGGCTTAGGGTACTCACCTCCCACACTGTTGAAAACTGGTATTTACCTTAGAGTTCATCTTTGAACAACATGGGTTTGAGCTTCCTGTTGCTACCGCAGTGGTTTCAAGGATTTCAAGTAATCAATATGTCCGTGAAGCCTATCGTCTCCGACAGGGCCACACTTTAAATGCAGACGGCAACACTGTTGAGCACGGAAATCTCCAACAGGAAAATAATCCAAGTTAAGTGGCCCCACACAGTTCAAATCTGCTTCGTTCAAGGGTCCACTGTAAATTTCTACCTAAATTGACAACACACCAAACTGGCTTGGAAGAATATTCCTTAGAAGCAAGATGGTGAGACTTCATCTCTCACATACTTTGGACATGTCATCAGGAAAGGAAGACCAGATGGACTGAGACAAGAACTGACCCAGCGGCTGCAACAATGGGCTCCATCAAAGAGCAATGATTGTGACGATGGTGTTGGACCGGCAGTGTTTTGTTCTGTTGTATGAGTCAGAACTAAACTCAACATTACCTAACAGCAAAAACATCTCTATAAACTAGTAACTTGCTCATTAAATGAAAAATTTGTATGTCTGTAACACAAAAGGGCTTTAAAACCTTTCAGCAGTAATACCTGAAATGTTCACAAGATGGCACTGTGACTACATGAAAGAAAAGCTTCAACCAACCCCAAACCAAACCAGAGTTAATTCCAACTCAGGCCAGCCCTACGGATAGAGGTGTTCCTTAATACAAAACTTCACAGTAGTAGCACTCTCATCTTTCTTCAGATGAACGGGTGGGTTTGAACCACCAACCTTGCAACAAGTTAGTAGTCCAATGCTTAACCCACCATGCCATTGTTGTTGTTATGTTCCTGTGCCGTGAGTCAGTTCC